AGAGTCTCACTTTGCTGCTCTCGGTAGAGTGCCGTAGCGTCACAGCTCACAGCAACTTTCAACTCCTGGGCTTAGGCAATTTTCTTACCTCAGCCTCCCGAGTAGCTGGGACCACAGGCGCCCGCCACAACGCCCGGCTATTTTTTGTTGCAGTTTGGCCCAGAACGGGTTTTGAACCTACCACCCTCTGTATATGGGGCTGCCGCCCTACTCACTGAGCCACAGGCGCCGCCCACATAGTATGACTTATAAATGACTTGAAAATTCATGTTCTAATGCCTCTGGGACCCGTTATTTCTGGGCTAAAACTACTGCTTGGTTACTGTTTGGCCTTTAGCAAGTTATTTAATCTCTCCGAGCTACTTCCCAATCTACCTGGGTTCAAATTTCAGCTCTGCCACTTAACGTGTAAGTTTGGATGCTTCATTTGATCTGTAACTTTTTCCTCATCTGTAAAATAACAATATCTACCTTGAGTTACGAGCAATAAATAATTCAAGTACAGCTCTAGCATAGTGCCTAGCAGTCTCTTTCCCAAAACGCTACCCATCATAATTCCCTAACCCACTGACTCTATGATACTTGCTTCCTATCCTTAGGGTGCTCAAGAAAGCCAAGTGCGTTTAGGTGTGTCCATCTGCTCCGGTGAAGTAGGGAGGCTAGCGGGAGCTGGGCCTCCAGCAGATTAGGCAGAATCGGGCGGGATGGGAAGACGGGTCCTCATTATGAACCTAACCAGACCAGCAGAGCCCAAGAGGAGGAACTGCGAGGGCTCTGCATTGTAATACTCCAGTACTTTGACTAGAAGTCTTCTTTCTGTTGCTCTGGTTTTGACGCGACATGACCAGGCAGAGGTTCAGAGAACACCAGGAAGTTCAAGGCCCCTGGCACTCGGAGACAGGCCACACCCCACAAGGACAGCAAGGCCCAAGGGCCTAAAGCTAGTTCTATCGTGAAATTCCTGTATTTTGTCGTGATGAAACACCGCCCAACATTGACCCTGGCTCCGCTCGCCAGGTTCCATCTTTACAATCGATAGAATGATACCTGGCCAAAGAGGAATGCCGGTTTGGGGAGCCTGAGGTACGGCGGCTGCCTGGGGACCAAAACGTCTCTAAGGTAAAGTTGCAGCCTGAAGCGATTTTTTGACCCCCGACACTTAATGGGCTGTGAAGACCCGGATGTGTCTGGGACTGGCCGAGGTACCATTAACGCGCCCCCGCTAGACCATCCCCCTATACCGTTTATGATTGGGTCTTACGTACGCTAATCATGACGTTTTTAGCCACTCAGTCTTCTAGGGTGGGGTGAAGGCTTGGCACCCCGCCTTCTATTGGTATGGCCAAGAAGAAGAGGGCGGGGTGACCGGCTTAGGCCGCCCAATGGGCGTCGTGGCGTGTGAGTAAGGCGGAGCCGAGGTGCTTGGCAGCTGCCCAATCAGCGTCCTTGTTTGTG